CAGTTTCAGAACATATTTACTCCCGCTCTATATGACAGCTCCTTAATTATGAAGGCTGCTATCATAATCTGATCTCAGTCTTCTCCTCTTTTAGCTGACATTAAAAAAAATCTTAATCCAGCATACTGTGATTCTTTTTATATGTAGTGGTTCCAGTGTCATATCAGGGTGTAAGTATTTGTAACATCTTTTAGAACTGTATGATTTTCTCTGCAGCATATAGAATATGCTGTATTTGGGGTTTTTAATTTTCTATTCTGTAGCAGTGGAATGATATTCTCTTTTGAGTAATGCCCATAAAAGTTTAATCTACACAGACAAATTGAGGTCCAGCACACTAGAATGTTCATAGGACAGCTAACATTATATATTTTGATGATTTGAAGAGTTTCTGTTGCACAGACATTTAAAAAACACCTAGACGTATCACATTTTTCCCTTAGCAATTGTTATTAATTTTCTATTCCAACATTTTATTCCAAATATAGCCAATTACTTCTGAAAATTAAAACAATATTGTTGGTATTTCCATATAGACAATAATGATAAAAATCCTTTAACTGTTGAGTTTAATTATACTGATTTCAGTTTTAATTGGACTGATCTTTATCATTTTATATTTTGTATTTTTATTATGGAATTTTATGGAATATTTTTCTTAGTTGTTTCAGTTATTTTGGGAGTTGCAATTAGATACTTCAAGGAATATATATTGATTTTTTTAAAATAAACCTATTTATTGAGGTTGCTAGGTCTCTTTTCAGTGATTGGTGGTAGTCCATGTAGTAATGACAACTGGCTGTGTATAGTTTTTATCCTGCCCAAACCAAACTAGATATGTCTAGTTTGCTTTTTTTTGTATGACTTTCATAGTGTGACTTTCCACAAGATGGGTATTTGAGACATTACCATTATCTACCACTCAATGATTTTCTGTTTAATTTTGCCCATTTTGTTTCATGTTGCCATTTTTCTGGAACATTCCTGGCATTAACCATATTTTCCCCTATTGATACTTTTTCTGATCTTTTTCTTACTTCTGATTCTTTTTCTTATTTGCAAGTCTTCTGTTAGAACTTTTGCTTTGCCCTTTTGTTCCTTGCTTATATGTATTTGTTATTCCATTTTGGCTTCATTTCATCTGTCTCATTACATTGCTTTTAACATATCCACTGGGTAATAGATTCAGTGTGCTTTTGCTTGGCATATAGATGCTTTTTTCATTTAAGACAGCTGTAGATTAAATGGAGAAGCCCTCCCCCATGGCTATACTCAATATTGTGTAATATAACGTTTTGCTGTTTTCTCCTGATTTTGGCCCCTTCTGCCATAAATTATATTGGTGGCTTTAGAGAAAAAGGATGGCAGGAAAGAAAACAGAGAGAATTCAAATGTATTCATACACAAAATGTATAAAGTATATATCACAGCTAACAATAATTGGAAGTAGAGAATAGGGATGACTAACAATCAAATCCTATGAGAACTTTAATCATGGCAGGGTAACCAAATATATCTGTCTTGTTTACATTCCAAAGATCAGCTAAGGTTGTTACGTCATACTATTAAAAGTAGTTTTAGGATATTCTAGAAATTCCAGTAAGCACTGTTGGACTTCTTGAAAAATGCAATCTATTGATATTTGTAGCATCATTTTTATACCTTGTGATGATGATGATTATGATTTGCATCAAAATGTCTATATTAAAACAAGTGCAATTTTCATCAAGGATAAATTATACTTGTGCTTGTCCTAGTTTCTAATGACAATTATTTGAAAAGGTGCATGACATCAGTAAGCGTTTAACATTTCATCACTGTATTTTAAATAATATTTACTTTCTTTCAAAAGTTTTAAATATAAAGTTTATATTTAAATATAAAGAGAATTCTGGAAGCTGATTATCTGGATCCCTTCAAGCTGGGTTTCAGACATGTGTATGGGATTGAAATGGCATTGATCGCACTTAAGGATGACCCCTGGCAGGAGGGTGATAAGGATGGTTGATCTCTTATCAGCTTTTGATCATGACATCCTTCTGGACCAGCTTGGAGAGGTTGGGGGTGGGGAGAGTTCTTCTTCCTCTGGGGCCAGTCTCAGTGTTGATGGGGGAAGACATCTAGCCCCTAGTTTTGCAGGATCCCTCAGGGCTGAACACTCACCCTAGTTCTGTTTAACATATACATGAAGCCATTAGGTGAGGTCATCCAATGGTACAAGATGAGGTATCATGAGTATGACAGTGATATCCAGCTTTATATCTCCATCCCTGACCAACCAAGTAATACTGTGGAAATTCTTTTTGGCATCAGGAGGCTGTGGAGGTCTGGATGGAAACAGGCTTCAGCTCAACCCTAGCTAAACTGATGGGTTAGGGGTTCCCTTAGATCCAAGGATTTTCCACCTCTTGTTCTGGATGGGGTTGCACCACCCCAAATGGAACCACTGTTTAATTTGGGGATCATCCTGGAATTGCAGCTTCTGTTTGAGGAGCATGGCAGCCATGGCCAGGAAGGTTTTTTCACAACTTTGTTTTGTGCACCCTTTCCTGGACTGGGAGGCTCTGCTCATGGTCACTCACGTTTTGGTCACCTCCTGAGTGGATTACTGTAAAGCAATCCACATGGGGCTTCCCCTGTAGGAAAACCGAAAGCTGAGCTGAAGGCCAGCTGCAGGAGTCCTGCTCTTAAATAGCTCAGATGCAGCTTGGCTCACTTATGGGTGTTTATGTGCCTTTGCTTCTTGAGGAGCCAAGCAAAGTGCTTCTGTTTGTTTTCTGAAACTCCCAATACATCCTAGGACAGGATAATCTGCTCAGATTGGATTCCTCATCACCTGACTCCTCCCATGCTTGTACCTGCTGATTGCTTCCTGAGTTAGTCTCAGATGGTTGATTGCTGAGGCTTACCACCTGCTGCATCAGGTCCGAGTTTCTAACTCCTGTAAATCAGAGATCATAACATATGAGGCCAATCCCAGCGTGGCTGATTTCATCAGTTGGAGAAGAAGGGTTGAGCAAGCAGCTATTTCTTCTCTCCGCATACCTTGACTACCTTCTCAAGAAAACAAGATCAAAATAACTTTATTCATTCATTCATTCTTCCAGAAGAAATAAAAGCTTCGCTTTCCCAGAAGATCTCTCTGGACTGTAGAGCTACAAGAATCTATGTATGTGCTTGTGTATTTGTACTGTTATTATTTCTTATATCCTTATTACTGGAGTTTTAAAATATTCTATTTAGTTATTGCTGTTTTAGTATCTCTAAACCATCTAGAATTCAAGAGGATGGAAGCACTAGATAAAGTGTATAAACTGCATAATTAATAAATTCTATTCAGAATGGAAAAATGTTGTTGGCTTGTTTGTAAATTCAGTGGACAGAGAGAAGTCATCCCTCTCCATTGCATCCATTGCCATAGGACTTCAGAGAAGTCTTAAAAAGGACCTCTCCCTGACTGGATTCATCCTGAGAGTTCCTCATAAAGCCCTTTATTTTCTGCTTCATTGCTCTCTGCTTCCTGATAAACTGACAATTTTGCTCTGCTAAAGAGAAGGGGATGCTTAGGAGTAATAGCATAAACTGCCCAGACATCTCATATTCCAGAGGTTGGCCAAGGCTTGAGAAAGGATTCCCCAAAAGTATTCAGGACCCATTTAGGGTGGAAGAGTAAAACATCCATTGTTTTGCAATAACAACCCCCCCCCCGCCCCCGTCTTTCTAGTAAGTTTA